TTACAAACTCCTTTCCCTTCCCCTCCCCACAACAGACACCCTGTGAGGTGGGTGGGGCTGAGAGAACTCTAACACAAACTGCTCTTTTTCAAGGACAGCTGTGCCAGAGCTTGTGACTGACCCAAGGTCACATCAGCAGGTGCAAGTGGAGGAGTGGGAAATCAAACCCGGTTCTCCCAGATTAGAGTCCGCGCACTTAACCACTATACCAAAAGGAGGGCTCGTATGATTGAATACTCCTCCATTCCCTCCAAAACAGAACCCTAGTTGTCAGGGAGAAGGGTTTTATAGTCTACTGTCTCCTTGACATGCTACTTTTCTCCATTCCTGTGTGTAAAAATCTTGTTTTCCCCATAAGGGAATAATCCATCACGTGAGCCCCAATCAACTACTGAAGTGATGCAGTCCAGACTTCACTGGGAACTAGGACAAAGTCATACTGTAAACACTGGCAAGAGAAGTCAGTGCAAATGTTTAGGACTGGAATGTTTATATTTTAGATTTTGCCACGGGAACTGGAATGTTACAACTCAATACATTATCTTTTAGCCAATGGAAATAGTGGCTTGGATCCAGCTGTTATTTCCACTGACAGAAGGGATTTCTGTCAGCAGAACTGGACTTTCTCACCTCCCCATCCCACTGCAGCCCAAAATGCTGTTCCTGGGGACCGTAGTGGCCAGAGAGAGGCAAACTGGGGGTTAGTAGTAAAAAAGGGAACTGACAAAAATCACCCACCCCTTCCATTAGGAGCAGTGCAATACTGGACCCTACGCAATTCATAAGAAAGGCTTATAAAAATAAACGTTGAAAAAGGGCTGAGTGGGAGAGAGGGACACATGCTGATTTTATGTCTCAGTAAAAAGGTTTAAACAAACACTCGGTTTTAAATTTTAGTATAGTTAAATATGGAAAAAATATAAAACAAAGCAGTGTGCAATCTATTGCAAGAGTAGATGCAATTTACATGATACTAAATATTACAATTTAGAAATATGGGCCACTGCTGGTATGAAAGTCAAAACTGTAAGCTTAGGGCTGGAAAACAAGAGAAAAACAAAAGATTGAAATTGATCAACTGAAAGTCATAACATGAACTACTGACCGAATTAACAGCGGGACAAAATCTACGATCTCTTTTATTTTATTTTTTATCTTGTTTTTCCTCTAGGAAGTTCAAGGTGGCATACATGGTTCTCTCCTCTTCCATTTAATCCTCATAATCCTCTGTGGTAGATTAGGCTAAGGGAGAGCAACTGTTCCAAGGTCACCAAGAGAGCTTCACAGTTAAGCACAGACTTGAACTCCACTCCTAGTCTGACAGTCCAACTGCTATGCCACACTGGCTACTTGTGGAGATCTTTGATGCATCACAGTATATCTTTGATGACCAGTTAATAACCAATTAAAAGGCATCTCTCAAAGACTTATTTTGAGGTAGTCTTTGAGACTACCTGAAGGAGTCTCAGAGCAGTTTACAATCCATATCCCTTCCCCTCCCCACAACAGACACCCTGTGAGGTAGGTGGGGTTGAGAGAGCTCTCTCAAGAACTGCCCTTGAGAGAACAGATCTGAAAGAATTTATGACTGACCCAAGGTCACACCAGCAGCTGCATGTGGAGGAGTGGATCCTCCACATCAAACCTGGTTCTCCCAGTTTAGAGTCCGTGCTCTTACCCAAGACACTACTTTTCTTAAATCTAGAACCAGAATCAGATTGATGCCACAAAACTTCAGCTTGATGCCATAAAACAAAGGCACCCACAAGTAAGAGAAAGCTACTAAGGAATCAGCCTGTAATAAGCTTTTTAATAGACAGGATGAGATCAACTTCTGTAGTTTGGAAGTATAGCTGGAACCTATGAGTTTAATGTTTGGAAGGTGAGTTGTGTATACTGAATACCCTTTGTTTTACCTTTAAACATGCAACACATATTGTACAGTCAAGATTTCAAGGCAATGTTTCTTTTTAATTTTGCCATCAGATCACAGAACGTTTTCTTCCATTACATCTTAAAACCATTACAGCACTGCGTG